TTCCCAAGCAACCCAGTGTAGTAAAGAGAGTCTTGGGAAAGGTGCTAAAAATAGGCCCTTTGGTTACCACAGCAAAGTGCCCAAACACGCACAGAAATATTTCAGTGCAAACAGAACCTGAGTTTCACTCTTTTCTACCCCATCTCCCAAGCCCATATTGTGCCACGGTATGGCACAGGTAGCTCCAATTAAAGTTTAATATCTTTTCTCTGCACTGAGCTCCATCCCTCTCTGGTGTCCGCCTCAAACCCCGGTTGCTCACAGCTGCCCAGTGTTTTGGCTCAGCCCAACAGGCCCTTCTGTAACACTGAATGAACAACCATCAGCTTTCTAATTTGGGATCCAAGAACAAGTCTCAGAGCCTGGGCATGCTCCAGAAGACCAAGAGAAGTCACATTAATAGCTGTACTCTGCTTTGTACAGGCCTCCTCAGCCCGGGGATCTTGGTAGGCTTTACAAACACCAGCTAAGCATCTGGATTCTCCATGAGAAAGGCATTACTTGTTATCAGAGCTGGATTAGTAGCCAGTGAGTGGTTTCTGAAGGGTGGCAGAAGAATGATGTGTGGCTGGACGAGGCTTCAACTTCCAGACACCAGCAAGAGAGTTGCTGTGTTGTGCTTTTTTTTTTTCCTTTTTTTTGTTTTTTTCAGATGCAAGTTTGGTATTTTTTATTTTTTAATATTTCTGCTTCTTCAGAGAATAATAATGCACTGGTTGGGGGTGCAGAAGCAGCCTCGGCTGCGCTGGAGAGCTGTCTCTCATGCATCTGGAGCAGGACTTTGAAGGACTGGGGGACAGGCAGCAACAAGCCAAATGCCAGAAGCCATGACCCAAAGGCACGTGTCCCTGTTTTGCGTATGTTCTCCCCTTCAGCATGTGCCAAGCAAAAGTCACTGAAACCAAGACAGCTCCAGGCAAGCAATGAATGGATTCTCGCAGCTTCTTGAGCCTGTTGGATAATCAGCAAGGCTGGGGACAGGAGACACAGCCTTAGAATTATAGAATGATAAAATATCCCGAGTTGGAAAGGACCCAACTCCTGAAGATGGGCCAATGAGAAGAAGATCTGCAGTTCAGGCTTGTTTAGGCAGCCTTCTCAATCACGTTTAAGAAGTTTGCCCATCAAGCAAATCTCCCCCAAATTAATGAACCTATCCTTTGATTTCATATATTTCTCATTTTTAGAAAAAGGCAGAGCTAAGTTGTTTGTGTCTTCTGGTAAGGCATTTCTTACTATCTTGTGTGTTTTGCAGTGATCGTGGCTCTTTCTACGTGTCCAAAATCAGGTAAGTAACAAAGGGTTTCCCAGCCGCAGCCCACGTGGAGGTGCAGGTCAGAGCTGCAAACACCCAAGCTGACTGCATCCAAGATCACTGCCCACCTCGATCTGGGAGATGCTCAAGATGCTCTCTACCCTTCCCCCTTGTTTTGGTGTGGTGGTGTGGTACTCACCCAGTAAGAAGTAGATGCTGGTTACCAGTGCCCTACAGACTCCAGGTGGCAGGAGATGCCAACTTGTTCCTAAATATGTAAGTTCTGGGAAGAGCCACATAGGAAGGTTCATGGGAGGGAGGAAATCACCAGGTTTAAGCTCAAAACAACGCTCCAGAAGCAACAAAATTTAACCCCAGAAAGCATTACAACTAAATTTTTGGTGCTTGCTCAGCCTTCATACAAAATTAAAGGCAATCCAGTAAAAACAAAACCTTATCCTGGTAAGAAATCATCCACACGTTTTAATGTGCCACCTGCACACACTGCGCAACTCTACAAGGCCCTAAATATAAACAGACAGCCCTTTCCTGGCTGTTAAAATGAACACTACCTCAGCTTGTTCTCTGAGCAAGCCAAAATTATAGCTGTTTGGAGATCAGAAACGTTTTAGGGTGGGACACGCTTTTTTTCTCTCTCTTCTTTTTACAGTGTTTGTAGTTTTATGAATAGGGCATTCATTGTGCCCTAACCCCAAAGATATATCCACCTTGGAGAGAGGCCTAAAATTAGTAGTAAGTATATTCCTGAAACTGTCAAGAGGAAAGCCAGCTCGTGTGGGATGCTGTAGACGCGGCAGGCAAAACAACATCCCTAAAACAGCTGGGTCCTTTGCTGCAGCTCTTGTTAAAGAGCTGATGGGTTTGCATAAGCCCCACATATGCACTGGTTTACCTATCAAAACAAAACAAAAAAAAGACTTTTTCCTGCAAAGTCCAGCAGCGGAAAGCCGTGCCAGCACATACATGCCTGAGCTTCTGGGAGCAGAGTAAGCCTCAAGATGTGACTGTGTGAGCAACGACTGTATTGAATTTCCATTCCAGAAGACACCAAATCATTTTACAGGCAGTAAATCCAGAGCCGATATCCCTTATTATGAAATAACAGGCAGGTCTGGATGCAGCACGCCACATTCATCAGCACAGAAGCAGGGGAGAGGCAAAAGAAGCCTCTTCATCACTCCTGGATTCTGCTGGGGAGCAGGACGTAGGGATGGGGCAGACACCTTGCACACGCAAATAGAAGTGGATAAGGGAAGCAGAGCCTCCCTGATAGCCCTGGCTGGAGCAAAACCCCCAGGAGCAGGCTGCTGCTGGATGTCTCTGTGGGTATGTACTCGTACATCCCGAGCGTGCCCTCGGAAGCCTGCCGGTGAAGGGCACGCTGGCGGCAGCGCAGCGCGCATTGCACATACCCCTCCTTTCCCAAGCTTTGCTTACATTTCATCCCGTCTACTCTGACTCCAAGGTTTAATAAAATTGAATCCCAGCATGTCTTGAATTAATTAATTAGATCTCGTTCCAAGCCACCGTGCCAATTTCTGCAATTACGCTGTTGCCCACAGAGGAGCTCAGAGAGCGGCTGCATCCATCCCTGAGCAGCCAGGGGCTGGGGAGCTGAGCCACAGTACAGCAGAGGGGTTGGTTTTAAAGCACTTTGGGTTTTCTCCTCCTTCACTTCCCCATGAGAAAAACTCCTGCAGTGTGACTGGTTGTGTCCCTGTGTATCACGAAGCCAGCCCTGCTCCGCTAAGCACCAGGAGCACAGCCCTGAGCCATGGAGCAGAATTCCCCTGGCTGTAAATTGAGTCTTTAGGCTTCAAAATTGGCGAGTTTGGACTAATGGGATAGCTGGTTTCATCAGTCCATCGGCATCAACTACAAATCTTTTGCCCCCTCCCTATGTTCCTAAGTTTGCTTCCCTCTTCAAGTCATCTGCAGCAAAGGATTACTTTATCCAATAATCTAGATATATATAAAGGTAAAAATATTTTTTTTTTCACCAGGAACAAGTTGTGGATATTTGAAGGAATTTGAGATATTTTGACAAGATAGTCAAATTATTCTCTGCACTGGTCTTCCCTGATAGATGATTTCCAACAAGTGTGACATCCCCACGGACACTCCATGGAGTCTCCCCAAAGCCAACACAATCCTGCCAGCACTTCTAGCAATCTTTGCCCATCTTCACTGCCACAGCTAAGAGAAGAGCAATCTCAGGTGCTCAGTGACCACAGCGATGAGTATGGCACCATGGACAGATGTGGACAGTGGGACAGGAGATACTTCCTATTGCCTCGTTGCCCATTTTGCACCACTTTATGCAGTGTAATTAATTCTGACCTCAGAAGAGTCTCATCAGTTTTGCCTGCTGTCAGTGCATTGGGCAGGGACCCTGATGAAGTGCACTTGTTTACAAACACATTAAACCATATTTAAAACCCATTGTTTCTTGCTCCAGCTGCCCAAGTACTTTTTACTCAGCTCCTGGACCCATACCAAAAGTAAAAAATGACAGATTGCCAAAAAGACCAGAGACAGAGGGGTGGAGGGAGGGATGCAAAGCGGCTAGACAGCACAGCAGATGAATATATTATCCTGCTGCCTCTAGGAATAGAGGTCAGAAGCTGGACCAAGTTGAAGAAAACACTTGCAAAATTAAAGGTCAGTGAGATAATGAGCTATAACAGCTGTGGAACAAGAAGTATTTTTCTGGTGGAGGAGCTCTGAGCTCTCACTGGAGTGAGGCTACCTTCTGCTCCCAGAGGGGCAAAATCTGTTCCCTTATTAGTGTTGGCCATTGGGACCAAAGATGTGGCTATGCCACATGGCAGCATCCTCCCACCATTCTCCTCTTGCTGTGTCCATCCCTCTCACATCAGCCCAGTGACTTTCAGCCCTTAACACCCTCGCAGTACACATGCCCAAGCCCTGCGTTGTGCCACCATGAACATGCTGGTGGGCAGTGTCTATGCCAGCAGCTTAGCATCTCCTGGAGGGTTTTGTAAGAGCTCCACGAGGCACATTTTCTTTCCACAAACTTCCCTAAAGTCAGGCAAACAGCAGCCCTAAGAAGAGCATATCTTTATCCATAAGTGAAGAAACTTGATGAAAGTTGCAAGGTGCAGCTGCAAGGGAGAGCAGGTAAGGGAAGACAGGATTTGGGCACCTGATGGTGGTCATGTTCTCAGCTAAAAAGAAGACAACAAAAAAAAAAAAGCCAGCAGCAAAAATAAAACAAAAAAACAGCAGCCTCTACTTCTAAATATTTTATATTAGGAAGTTGCTGGTTAAAGAGCCAGAAAGAAAACCACAGCAGCAGGGAGCAGGAGAGGTGACCTCCGCATCTCCTGGGATCAGGCAGTTCCAGCAAGCACCCGTGCAGGAGCACAGGGTGTTTTGGCTGGCTGGGCAGCTCCAAGCAAGACCAATGACACACAGTAAACAGAAATAAATACATAAAAAGGGACTGAAAGCATGGATCAGTCCTTGCCACTCAGAACATCCTTTTGAATGATCAGTCACTGGACATCTCCTCTTGCAATTACAAATTCCAGCAAGCGCATCAGATCAAAGGGGCATAAAACCAGCAGAAAGCCCTGCAGACAGCTGAAACCCCCAAACACCACAGCGATGGGCCCTGCAGCAGATGGCTGCAGACCCTGAGGTCTCCCCATGCTTCCCAAACCACAGAAGCAGGCACCGAAGCCGTGGCTGAGCCTCCTACCTGCTGGCCAGCTGCTACAGGTTCATCTCCGAAGCTTCGGGGAGGCTCAGGTGTTCCTGCGGTGACCTGGGAGAGGGAGCCTGGGGAGAAACACAGGAGACCTTGATGTAACGTGGTGATCTGAAATAAAACATTCATGCCACAGGCCACACATCCACTCCAACTATGACAGCAACCCATATGTTATTCTACTTGTTCCCACAGAGACATTAGGGCTTTTCCCTACTCGCCCTTTTGCTCCTTTCCTCCAACCCTTCTGTCACCATTTTGGACTCCTCTTTGGTGGCATTTTTCATTTTGCTGCCCCTCATTTTGTTCTCCTCAAGAGAACTTCTCTGGAGAGGCACATTTCCGAGTGGGGCTGCAGCGAAGCAGGCTGACCCCCTCCTCAGCTTGCTCACCATTGCCCTTCACGGTCAGAGCAGAGCTGCTGCTTGTGCAGCCGGGCTCATAAATGTTTCATCTGAAATAGTTTTTGAAGAATACCACTGCAGGGATTTTTTTATTTTTTTTTTTTACACACGAAACTACGCATTTCCAAAGGTACAAAGAGAAGGCGCAGGGGGCCAGCAGGTGATGGGCTTTGCAGCTCTTCTGAAACCAAAGACCCCGAATGGGAACCAGACCCCATCCTGACCCCATCAGAGCTGGACCACGCAGGTGGGCACAGACCCACAGCCGTGTGACAGGGCAAGTGGCTCTCGGCATGGTCGGGAACCCTGGTTGCCCTCTAACCCCAGGGCCAGCAGGGCTAAGCCTGAATAGGAATCCAAAAATCACAGCAGGTTATGGGAAGATGCTCAGGAAAAAAATATATAATCACTAACCTGAGTTTTGGCTTAAAACAGAACTAAAGAATAAGTTAATCTTATTGCTCTTTAGATACTCTTATTTTTCTTTCTCTCTTATTACAGGCCTAAAGAATAACTTAGCCCTACTGTCTGATTAAATTCATTTTTCTTGTTGTGCAGGAGGAAATATCCAAAGACAGTTCATACTCTGAGGATTTAATGGGGCTAACGCTGTTAGCCCATCCAGCAATTCTTCATAACATCTTCCTCACCATGCCTTCTGCTGCCAGCAATTAGATTAAATAATTTTAAATCTGCATCCTTATTAGTGGCTTCTCCTGAAAACGTGTTGGCACACGCATGCAGATGCACAGAAAGCTCTGTACAATGCTGTTGCAAAAGCACACACAGACACAAATGCCATGGCAGGACAGGGCTGAATATGGACAGTCAGAATACATTATATTATTGTGACCAAAAAGCTAAAGGCACTGGTGAAACAAAAACACCCTACTTAATAATGCCAGACAAAGAAAAAAAAAAAAGAGAGAGAGAAAAAAAATATATATCTTCATCTTGCCGCTGTCTTGCAAAACAAAATTGTTCAAATTCAGCAAGTTACCCTTGCATGCAAAAGTGCTACAAAAACAGTTTAAGAACCCATAGAGGTGGTGAGTAAATGTTGATTTTACACAACACCACGAGCATGGATCAATTAGTTCCCGAAGCACGTGCTATAAAGAAACATCCTTTTTATCCTTTTTTTTTTTTTTTTTTTTCCTAAGTTCTGTTTAGGGACTTTGCTGTCCCTTTCTTAAACCTGAATTTACCTAAGGTTTCACAGGGACCTTGAAGGCCCAGGTCTGTTTCCATCCTGCTCTGTGCTTGCCCCCACTGAACCAGGACACCCCCCCTGTGCTCTCTCTTGACACACACACCCCAAGCTCCACGCTAGGGAACACAGAGGTGGCTGTGCCACCGTGCCCATGGGCACTCAGTGATACTACAGAGCCCCGTATCCCGGTCAGCTTCCTGAAGGGAAACTAGGAGACATCTCTGCCCCTCTCCCCATGATACTGCCCTGCCAGGCTCCAATGCAATCAGAGCCTGTCAAAAGACCCCATCCTGTATTATTTATACCCCTTCTTAAGCCCATGTGCAGCTGTTTTCTTTCCTTCTTCCTTTTTTTCATGCTCTGAGCAGTGGCATCCAGCAAGGGGCACAGTGCAGTCATCTTCCAGGGGAAGGAGACAGGTCCATCTCTCCATCTCTTCCCTGCCCTGCTTTGTTTCAGCCCCTTCTCACCCCCCAAAAGCGCAGGAATTGCATAGTAAATCTGATGAAGCAAATGAGGATCTTGAGGTCCCCAGGAGGGTGAGGACAGGGTGCGCTGCCCCATCCTCCAGTGCACCTTCACCTGGGAGGTGCAACCCTACAGGGATGAGTGCCCCTGCCCAGCAGGACCTGCCTGACCCAGGTGCCAGAGGCCACTCAGATGGGAAGGAGGGGGCACTGCCCACAAAAAGTCCCCTGCAACTGTCCCTCTGCCCCAAAGGACAGTGATACCATGATATGTGCTTGATACCAGCATCAGGAAGCACGCCAGTGGGCTCCCTGCTCCCTGCACCACTCAGCCCCAGGTCAGCCTCCCCCAGACCCAAAGGCTGTAGGGCCATGCCCACGCACTGCTATCCTGGCAGATTCACCCTCGCAAGGAGCAGCAATGTGTAGGCCAGGCAAAGAAACAACCTAACATTGCCCCAATTGTTTCCAGCACCCTAATGAGCCAGTTCAACCCACGCCTGTACCGAGCTTGCAGCCCTGGTGAGGTTACGGGTACCCGCTCCATCCCACTGGTGATCGATGCACTTAATTGCATGTCCAGGAGTGCACGTGTGGGTCCCTGCAGGCATTGCTCGGGGAACGCACGGAAAATCTGGCTCTGGTACAGTGTTGCTCTATTTTACCTTCTTTACTGCTTGAAAAACATTTGGCCGTTGCTGAAGAGAGCCAGGCTAGACGCATACATTACAGCCCGCTCCAGAAATAGCACATGCTGGCTTGCACAATTTTTGCAGCTAAAAAGCTTCCTTTCAGCTCAGCAGCCTGTCCCCGGCCGTGGAGCAGCTCTAGAGAAGTCAAACCACGGCTCCGGGGCCTGCGGCTGGGGATGAATCATTTCAGGCAGGTTTCCTGACACTGAATGCAGGTGAACAAAGCGTGAGCAGGTTTGATTTCCTCTCCCTCTGTGCCAGCGCCCGGGTATCTTATGCAAAGTGTTTAATGAGCTAATTCGTACCTTGGAGAAGAAGCTGTATGTCAAAGCTGAGTTTAGAAAGCAGAGGTGTACGGATTTAATACCAGGCCTGGCAAAGAGCTATCAGTGTGCTGAGCAGGGCCAACCTCACACAACCTGGGTATCACACAGCCGGGTCTCAAAGGCAGGTCCATCTGCAAAGCCAGCTCAGCCCAAGGATTTTCCTTGGTATCCACCACTTTGAGCAAAATACGATGGTTTCTGATGATACGGGCCAACCCCACCCACAAGATTGGTGCAGTTTGTGTTTTGGGTTGGATTCAGGCTGGTGAGCTCTGGATAAAATGCTCCTCATTTTCTATTAGGGGCTGAGGCCTCCAGTCAGCCGTGAGAGGGAAAGGAGCAGAGTGGAAAGTAAAACCAGTTACTGGAACAGGGCACGGTTACATCAAATTCTGACCTTGCTGGAACCCCATCTCTGAATAGGGGCAAAAGATCCCCCACGGATCTCCAGGTACCGCTCAGCACAGTCTGTGACCATGTATGCAATCATCACTGATCGCCATCACCTACAGAACACAACGAAACAACTGCCAACATCCCAGTCCATGTCTACAGACCCCTTTTTGCAACACAAACCTACCAGAGGGGCTGAAAAAACTGAATATCCCTCACAATAATCCAAACCCATGGTTGGTATCAGGAGCTATAAACCAGCCACTTGATTTGAAGATGTGCACCACATTCCTGCACCCCATCCAAGATGCTCAACACAGCATCACTGGCATACCCACGCTGCAGCACCTCCACAAGGCATCCAGCACCTTGATGGATCCAGCTTGCATTGTGCTTTCAGACTGCACAGACCCATAGTGCCCACACCTCTACTTGTCTGGGACTGCCATACCTCCAGTTATCCAGTCACAGCTGGGTTTTGGACTATTGCATTTCTAGAAATCCACCAAAAATAGTCAAAGGATTTTTTTTTTCCTCCATTCCCTCAACACAGCATCTGGGTGGAAAAAAAAAGCTCTAGGGTATCCTAGACACAGGTGTGTGCACTGAGGCAATCGCAGGATCACAAGGATGTCAGGCTTCCCTTACGTCATGGGCTTGAACTTGGAACATGACAATCCAACATAAGCTGTGCCCACTAAATCTAAACATGAAGAAATGCAGGGCACTTTTAGGAGTGACAGGACTTCCTAGAAGATCCTGATGTGCAGGGGTGGTGGTGAAGAGTGCCAGCACCCCTGCAGGGCAGGATGCGGCCCCAGCAGCAGGCAGGGTCACGAAGTGCACAGGAAGACCGAGCGCTGCCTACAAGGGGAAAGCAGAGCTCCCTCCCCTCCTCGGGGCTGGTTTTATAGGCAAGGCTTTCAACCACAGGCCAGCCGAAGAGCAGCACACAAGGACCATCACGCACGTGCACGTCTTGCAGAACATGCACGGATTGCTGTGCCTCTCCTGCTTTCCCCTTTCCCTGGGAGAAACCCCCTCTTTTTTTGGACAACAACACTGCTGAGGGTATCACTCGGAGAAAAAGGGGAAAATAGAGAGCACTACTATTCAGCCTGCTACAGGGGACAAACACCGCTGACTAGCTATCACAAGTACCTCAGCTAGAGCCTCCATCTGCAGGGAAGGGCTTCCCAAGGCCAATCTGGGGCTTTGCTGCTCATATCCCCAGCTCTCAGCAGAGTCTGACTGCATTAGTTTGGGTTAGAGGCTGCAGGTTAAAATCTTCATCTGTGATTTACTGCTGCCTGTGACACCAGTGGCTTCACCGGTGGCGTTAAATAACTGCGATGCTCTGGGGACACCCGCACCAGCAGGTTTTTTCATCCCTTACCACCACGCCACGTCAGGGCTGGCTGGGCTCTTTCAAACACCAGAGCAGCAGACAGAGCCTCGTGTGCCTCTCTTTTCCTAGTGAGGCATTACAGACTCTTTATATCATTAACCCAGACATTTTGCCTAGCACACTTGATTTAGAGCTTTTTTTTTTTTTTTTTTTCAGGAAGATTAAATA